AAGTCTATGAGCTGACATTTCATTTTAGGGAGTGCATGCTCTAATCCAAAAGGTTAGGCCTCTAGAAGCGCATCTGGATGGATATTGATGGCCACTCACAGCATGAGCTTTAGCTCTCAGGTACTAAGACTTTTGTGGAAAAGTTTCTTTTATAATATGTCGCACATCCTGTTACTTGAAGATAAGTAACCGATAACTAAGATTTTTTTTATAGGCTGTTTTACTTTTAGAAAGCACAAATAACATTCTTACTATCTCAGGTATCCTGTGGTAGATGAAGAGTCTGTAGGTTAGGGAATTTGATTCACCCAAGGCCCCTTCAGACACACACAAGACTTTAAGCTAAGTCTACTCAACTTAGTTAAGGATGGCTAGACCACAGTCATGCTTAACGAGTAAGGCCAGTGTGTACCCAGATCTCCAAGAGGAGAGGACCATCTTTGCTTCTGAATTTCTTGTCAAGCTTCCCTCTCATTGAGGCAGGTGGACATTTATCTCTTGCTCGGTCCCAGGGGTTACAAAGGTTCAGTACTGACAGAGGCAAGTCCAAAGTTGTCATTGACCTAAAGGCAGGGAGCAAGCAGCACTTTACCTGAGGAACTGTTATATTATCCAGAAGGAGCATAAAGCTTTCCAAAAACAACTGCCCTATAAGACACCCCAACACATCCTTTTTGGTATAGGTTGTGTAACTTGTAACTGATGGTGTAGTATGTAGTATTGTGTATCACTGAGTCAACAGAGTCAGTCACATCTGTCTACTAGGGTTTTAACCATGCTTTTTCCTAAATGTGTGACAGAGTGAAGTATTAAAAGTTGCTTAATTTTTCTGTGCCTCAGTTTCCTTATCTATAAAATTAGATGATAATAAGGCTCACATAAAGCCATTGCAAGAATTAAATAATCTGTAGTTTAGACTCCATATAAATAACAATTCAGCTATAACTGTGTACAGTAAGTTTTTCTTTATTGAGTTCTTGGGGGATCAATGAGATCGACTTGAATGACACTGTACAGGACTCGCAGGCCTCTTTTGCCCTTATGTTGACATGATAGGACATATCTACAGCAGTTTTTAAAGAAATACCCTGGCTTTGTTTCTTAATGCGCCATTATTCATTTCAGACTGTAGGCAGCCCTCTCTAGATCATGCTCTGTGTAAGGTTCCTGGCCCTCCATAGAAGAGGAAACCATTTGCTGGGGCCAGTGACTGCTCACCCAGCAGAGACCCCTTTTCCCAGTCTTGATCATGCTCAGTTCCCTAATGGAGTCTCAGATGAGAGACAGTTCGAGGATGATTGTGTCAATAGCTACTAGAGATTAAGGGCTATTTGCCCAGGGCTCAGTCAAAAGTTGTATATTTTTTCCACTTTTTCCCCCAAATTCATGGGGGCAGATTAGAAACTTAAAGTTTAAAAAGTCAAGTAATTTATCCAAACTATTATAGCAGGCTTTGTGGTGGTACTATGATTTGAACTCAGGGCATCTGGTCTCTAAACCTAGCTTTTGACCACAATTCCCCGGGATTTTACATAGAACTAGCCCCATCAGAAATGCTTTTACAAATTCCATGAGGCATGGAGCCATCGGTTTCTGCAAGGAGTCATTATGCAGAGGAATCTTGTGAAACCTTTCCCTAAACACCACAGAAATAATATCAGGCTATTTCATATCATATCTTGTTCATGAGAATTCCCTAAGGGAATTTTCTCATAGTTCTTAGCAATCAGAATGGGTATGTTCCCTAAACAAATTACCCATTTTCTAATGGTATAACCTACCCTAGTTGTAATTGGCCATTGGAACTTATCGAACATATTCATGGGGATTAAAAGGGAAACCTTTGAAAAGCACCAGTGGGGAGGTTTGGCAGTCATGGTACTGGCAGTCCCCCACCCCACCCCCAAGCCGCGCGCCGCGCCCCCCCCTCCGTGTCCATTTCCTCCAGACATTCAATCGGTTGCTGTATTGTGTTTTTACATCATTCCCTTTCTTCTTCACTTTGGTCCTGGATCTTTGTAGAAGAAAATGTTATCTCTGTCATTTGGGGGAAAATATTTGACATGGAAGCAATTCCAAAGTTAACCATCTCTCTGGCAGGATATGAGCTTTGGATGCATTGGGGTTTGATGTTGGGGCATGGAGGTATGATCATGGGAAACGGCTAGTAGTTTCAATGCAGCAGAACGAGAAGGATACATTTGAGTCTGCAGGGGTTCCTGTCTGGATGGTGGTTAGGAGCAATCTGGGTACTACCATTCCTACAGCGCTGCAGCACCTGTGTCCCGGAAGGCTGCTGGGTGACTCAAGGAAAATAAAGCATAGGCACAGAACAACCAAATCCAGGACAGCCAGAACCTGACAGAGAACTGCTAGGAAAGGCCTGCTTTGTTTTGTTTTGTTTTGTTTTGTTTTGTTTGTTTTTCCAAACTCCCACCGTTGATGTCCTTCATTACATCTGTAATGCAGTGAAGATCAGGAAGTCGTTTTCATTAGAGGTTAGCACCGTCTGCTAGCCTAGCGGCTGAAGATTGACCAGGCATATGCAAGGAGGAAATTTTAAGTATCTCCCCACGTATAAAGTGTCCTATTTGGAGACCAGCTGTTTGTTACCAGTCACCGGCAGCGGCAGAAAGGAGCTCATGGGCTCACAGTTTCCAACTCTAAGTGGCAAGACCTTCCTCCCCTCTTAGGGTTACAAATGATACTTCACATCTCTTATCTTCTGCTTGTATTTCCTCCCATTATTCGTCTGTAGCTCAGGGGTTATTGTTTTCCTAGAGCACATTTATTTAATCTTGACATTTTTCACTCCTTGGATTTAGAATTAGGTTTTGTCTTTGTTTCATGTATCCAGTGTGAAGTTGTCAGGAGTATTTAGCTAAGAATCATCAGCACCTTTGAAAACTAGGGTCCCCGCAGTGAGCCAGATACACAGAGCAACAGGAGATGGCATCAGCTTTAACCCTGCCAGCCACCCACAGGGATGCAGCAGAAAGTCCGTACGAGCTGTACTGGTGCAGCATGGCACGCTGGCATGATGCGATGTACAGGCAACCTCCGTTCTCATTGGGGCTTTATGGTGCTAAGAACCAGCGGTAATTTAAAGAGCATTTTTACCTAAAGCTTTGTGAAAGTGGATTGGCTTACAGACACTGCTGTTTCTTTTAAATAAGAATATTCTATGCGCTAATGAAACAGTTGGCAGAATATCAAAACTGTTACAATAACTGAGTTCCTGGTTATAATTATTTGCAGCTGTGATCCTGGGGCCCTGGTGTATCACTTATGGCTGTCTCTATTTCTAAAAATTATGTGCCATTTTTCACTCCTGCAAGCATGAATTTTGGTTGTACTAATTGGATATCCTTTCTCTTGGTAATTTTAAACATCGTCTGGGTGCCGGCACAAGTTACATACTTTGCCGTGTTGTTAGGTTAAATGATACAAAGTGGCTGCTGAATTTCACGTAATGGTTTCTTTTGACTGATACAGTTACATGATTAAATGAATAAAATTAGGGGAGACAGGGCAGTAAGAAAGAGCTCACTGGGAAAGACTGGTGAGAAGGTGCCAGCCTGCAGGAGAAGTTGATGATTACAAATAAACCCTGAGAGGTGAGGTGACCGCTCCAGTCAAGAAGCCTTTGGAGCAGCCTCTCAAGCATGTTGTGGACATAAGAGTAGGAACTGTAGGCTGCAGAAATACTCAGAGACGCTGTGGAGAGTGGTCAGGCTGAGCTAGCAATATCCAGGTAAGGCTGGAGGAGTGTCTGTTTCATTTGCTGCAGCCATGATGAAAACTTAGCGTCCAAAGAACCTGTTAGGACTTTGGTTTCCTGGTACCTGCTTCAGTTCTGATCTCTAGGAGACTAATACCGTTTCCACCTAGTTAGCACTGCGTTTTCTTCCTTTGAACACTGATGTCTTTGAGCGACAGATTTTTATTAATGCTTCTACACTACCCTTCAATGACATACTTACAGTTTTCCCCCAAAGGTAAAAGTGATAGCACTTTTAAAATGCATTATTAGTTTGGTGGGTGAATCACAGCTCTAGACTTTTTCAAATTCAGTATGATTAAGGATTAGAAGTATTTTAAAGTAACGCAAAAGACCATAGGAAAAGGGTATAAGACAAGAGTCGTCCAGCAGTCTACAACTGCTACTGGAAGGCAGGATTTTAATGTATGTTTAGTTTAAAATTCAATGTATTTTGTGGATATGTATTTTGGAATTTATATCAAATTCATTTACGTTCATTACTACTATTAATATATGTGTGTTGCATAGTTCACGTTGCATTGCATCTTTTTCACTCACATGATAAATATATCCTCGTGCCTTGAAATAGTACTTGACATTGTTATTTCAGTAATTCCACTAAAATTATGTGGATTCATCATAATTGACTAGTATTCTTCCAGTATTAAGTAAAACTTTAAAAAAAAAAGAAAAGAAAGAAAATTTGTATCTTTCTTTGACCTTAAAATGTGCTGGGTTTATTTATCTCTGATGGACTCTGGCTCCACCTTTAAAGTGTGAGAGTGGTGCTTTCCAGAACAAGTCAGGCATTTTCCATTCCCACCTCATGTGTGATGGTCCCACTCAGCTGCCAGATGAGCAGGGCAGCCATTTTGCTTCACCCTCTGAACAGGCTTATTCTTTCCTCTTGAGGCCCCTTCTCCGTGGTTCTAGTGGACAGAGAGCCTCAGCTAAACAAGCCCTGTTTATCTACAGGCAAGAGCCTAGACAGTGTGTTGATAGCAGTAATGTACATGAGAAGAGGCACTGAGGGGGAGCTAGAGGGAGCCTCCCTAAAGGCAAGTGAGACTCCCCCCTTCTGTCATCCCCTCCCTCTTCCTCACAGATGAGCTGGCCCCAAGGGCAATGTTGAACTTCAGGGTCTAAGTCCTTCCTAGGAGTGGTGGGGCCCTGAGCACGGAGAAACATGGGCCCTTGATGACCTCACAGCAGCAGCCTTGGGTCACCTGCTTCATACCTGAGGAATTCTTCCCTCAGCCTAAGCCCATTTCTTTGAGCTTCTCTGTTCTTCACATGTAATCTCCACGCAGTGGCCCATTTTCTAGAATCCATCAACAGGAACATGTGAGAGTCCTTGGCAGAAGTGAAATGAAACATAAATGAAAGGATGTTTTTGTTAGTAAACAGCCATGAATTCCACAAGTGTTTGTTAACCTTAAAATATGAGTCTTTTCTTAAGGTATTTAAATTTTAGATTTCCTCATGCTCTAGCATTTCATGAAAAAAAACATCGGGAAATAAAATCAGGCAGGTATTGTTAACATAGAAGTTACCCAAACACTGGCATTTACTTAGAAGAGGCCACTTTGACATAAAGGCATTCATTGCCTTTGTACTGGGCACAAAGATCCTTTATGAGAGGCTGAATGGGATACACAGTGCCCTTAGATGGTGGGAAATATTATATCCTCCACTAGCAGCTGAAATGATTCCCTAGCCACCCGTAATAGCCCTGATGGCCTTTAAGTTGCTCTCCCTTTCTCTGAGCACCTATGACTTTTTCGTGACATATAATTTACTTTATCTGGCAGTTTCTTTTATTTATTTTTATTTTCAGTTGCTCTGGTGAGGCAAGGATCTTTGTGTGTTGACTGCATTCACACACCTACAATAATGACTGATGGGATCACTTAAATTCTCATAAATTATGTCCCTTGCTCAAGATTGTTAGCCAGAAACTCAAATGTCTACACATTGTGACTAGATAATCTAACTCAGGAAACATGTCCAGGGTCCGAGCACTTGCCTAGCATACTTGAGGCCCTAGGTCACATCCCTAGGCCTGAGAAAACCAGTGCGCTCTGAGTTTTGCTATGCTATACTAATTTTCAAATTGATTATTGTTTCTGCTGACAACGCATTGTATTCAATTAGTTATCAAATGATTTAGAAGCTCTGTGTAAATATTGTTCCTTAAAATTATGTGTAACCGGGCGGTGATGGTGCATGCCTTTAATCCCAACATTTGGGAGGCAGAGGCAGGTGGATCTCTGTGAGTTCGAGGCCAGCCTGGTCTCCAAAGTGAGTTCCAGGAAAGGCGCAAAGCTACACAGAGAAACCCTGTCTCAAAAAACCAAAAAAAAAAAAAAAAAATTATTTGTGTCAGAGAAAAATTGAACAGAAAGAACAGAGGATTCTCATATGCCCCTCCCTCCCATCCCCAGTTTCCCATTACTAACATTTTTGTCTTATTAATGTAGTAGTTTTGTTAAAAATTGACAAGCCAGTATTAAAAGTCTATCATTAACTAAAGCTTACAGCTTATGTTAGTGGCGTTGTCACCATTGCAGTATCATGCAGAATAGCCTCTTGTCCAGAGCTGCCAAAAACCTGGGTACCAGTGCTTGTGTAGATATAACTCTTAAACTCAATCTGGACAAATACCAAGGAGCATGTAATATACTTTCTTGTTGTGCCTTTTCAATGGGCCTGCTGTGAGGAGCAATGCTGGGAAGCAGTTGACGTTGGAGTGAGGCAGGGGTGGTACTGAAAGTTGGCTTTCTTGGGTTCTGTTCTCTTCCAGTCTCCTGCATCTGTGTATATAATGGCCTGAGAGTGTACATGGAACATGCGAACATTGCTTCACAGGGCTCAAAGTAATTCTCATGTTGTCAGAACTTGAAAGTATTAGTACATCCTTCTAGATGTCATGCAAATTAAAAGGTGGTTTACACAATCCAATCATCTTTGCTAATTCTCAGCAATAAGAGAGTATGTCACAAACACTTCACAAAAGCGTTCACAGATGCCATGGGTGAGGCTTGTGTGTTTGCCACATTCTAGTTTGCCATTTATTTTCTCCTTTTATAAAGAGTTTGAGTTAAGCAGTATTTCTGGCTTGGAATATTTAGCAAGTGTGTGGTCCCTGCTCTTGTCATGGTATTCCGAAAACCCTCTAAGGAGGACGCTGACCTCATCTGATGTTCTCTTGGTCATGTCAGAGCGCGAAGCTGAGGGTAAGCGAGCAACATATTTAGCACTCTGCTGTCCTGACAGGTGTTGAGAAATCCGGCTTCTGCCTAGCCGTGTGTGTGTGTGTGTGTGTGTGTGTGTGTGTGTGTGTGTGTGTGTGTGTGTGTGTGTGTGTAGGGGGTGGCGGGGATCACCGTGATGCTTTCTTCATCCGGCTCAGCGCTGCCTCCTGAGCACCAGCAGCTAAACCCTGCCTCACTCCTGCTGCCGGTGCTGAGCTGGGCTCTTGATTCTGCATCCTTCGTGTGTTTTGTTTACAGGTTTTCAGAGATAAGGGCAAGTCGGTTTCCTTTTTTTTTTCCCCCTTATATAAAAGTCGTCTGGTTAATTAGCTGGTTGTAGGGTGGTTTTTCTTTTTCTTTTTTTTTTTTCCTCTCCTATCATTTTCTTATCTACTTTCCGTAGGTAAAAGCTACCACTCTATAATTCATCCACCTTGACAACGCAGGAATGCTGTTGATTCTTTTCTGTGTCCCAGATAAGAGAACAGAGGAAACAAACAGAGAGGCAGGGAGTGTAAGCCTCCACGGATGAACCAATTAGGAGAGCACAGATCAGTTTTGCTGCATGAGATCCGAAATGATAGAGGTCTTCAGAGAGTTTTCTATCTCATGGGAGGTGGCTAGCAAGCAGGTGTTTGCAGCCCAATGAGTGTGGGAAAGGAATAGTCACAGGGTGGACTGCTGTGAAACTTATTTTGGGGAACTGGGAACAGTTCTGCATAATTGTATTTAGCAGTGGCTTGTTAGCCAAGAAGGATACACAGAGAGAATCCAGAAGGAGATTAAAAATGGGTTAGCAATTGCCTTGAACTCATAAGAAACCTGAGCTTTACTGTAATTGATGTGAAATCATCTGATGTGTTTTAAAAAAAGAAAAGAAAAGAAATGGGGAGAGAGGGGAACCTGTATTCCCACCCTTTTGCCAGTTTCTCGTTTAGACTTTGAATTGAAACTCACAGACATTCCAAGAGTATGTCAAGTTCAAAAACAAATCACCCTTTCCTTTCTTACTTCTCATTGTCCTTCCCTGTCTCTGTGTCTCCAACATGACTTGGCCTCCCAGCCGGGCCGGGTGTTGAGGCTACATTCCTGTGCCACCACACTGGAAAGTCAGAGGTGCTGCTGTCGCCTCCACCTCCTCCCTGTCTTCTAACGACACAGCGTATCCACCAACTCCTCCTGGGAATCAGTCTCATTCACCCTCTATTCTCCACGTTCAGCTTTAATCATTCATAAATCTATAAAGTCATTAGTCCCCCCTAGTTGTCCTTCACTGTACAGAGTTCAGGTGAATTGTGTTTATTACTTCTGCACCTGGGGTTCTGAACTGCTAGTAAACCTCTTTATAAACTTAAAATTCCACCCATTCAACATGCCCGTGACAGATAGTGGAAACAGTATGAATGCATTGGAAAGTCACACAGTGTGTACCGTATACCACCTGCATCTCTCCCTGTTTCTGATGTCTCCTAATGTTTCTCTCATTTTTAGTTAGGATTAGGCTTGGAGCATATTACAGTCCATCAGCCAATCAATCTCGGTGACTTAAAGAATAACAAAGATTTACCATGTCAAATAAGTCTAGAGTCTGATATGATGGTTTCACTGTGCCACGTATGGCATGGGGACTTTCTGTCTGTTCTACCACAACAGTACAGTTTTATCCTCTAGATTATTCCCTGACACAAAATGATTGCTGAACTCCAGCCACCTCATAAAGAAATAGCCACCACCTAGAGAATAAAAAGTAGGCAGGGTAAAGTTCTTTTCTAGCCATGCCACCTGTTGTTACTATTGTGAGTGCCCATACACTATCTCCATAGACTAGAACAGTCATGAGACCCTATTCTCTGGAAAAGGGGGCTGAGGAATACCATTTTTGTTTTTAGATAGTATGTTCAGCTTAAAATTGGAGATCAGTCATTAAGGAGGAAAAGATGGAGGAGCAGGCAGCTTTGCTTGGAGTATCCCCTCTTTCTAATGGGTGAAATATGCCTGTTATTTCTACTGTTGAGTTGCTCTTGTCTGAGTTCCTGCTACTGTGTGGCTGCCCTTCTAGAAAGTGTCTTCATTAAAATAAACAGCAGGACTGCCTTGTGGGTTTCACTTTCTCAGGTTCGTCAGGGTCCCATGAAGTGGCAGAGCCGTAGATTCTCAACAGTGTTGACAGGGAGACCGGGATAGCAAAACAGCTGATAAAGTAGTGGCAGACTGCTCTTCTAGAATTCCTTCATCAACACAGTAAGGAGTTAAGGTGTCATTGCCTTCAGATCTGACCTTTGCATGTATGGTCGTCACCTCACTCACATGATACGGATCAGTCAGCCTGGGAGTTGGCCTCAGCTGACACATAACAGAGCCTTAGGCTCCCAAAGGTCCTGCTGCAATAGGGCTACGTCCAGTCTGTCCAGGAATGTCAGTTGCTAAAATGCTAAAAAAATGCTTAGCCTTAGTTAGGATCGTGGCCCTCATGAAGAGTAGCGTTTGGCTACTGTTTCTCAGGAATGGCAGCCTCTGTACTCCTGTACTCCTGGGCTGCACTGAAATATAACTGAAGAGGTTGTCATAGCAAGTCTGACTCCGCACGTACAATTATCTCAGAAAGCATGAATAGAGAGAGCAGAGTTTTTTACTTTTTTCAAAGTCAGAGATGAAAAGAACTAGACACATGGCTAGAGAAATATACTGAGAAATCAGGTATTCCTCACACAGTGCCTTCAACGTAAAGGTACAGCGACGGCTTCTCGCTACACTGTCGACTGTTTCTCTACTGAATTCATTTTCACATCACTCACTTCATTACTGTCTTCTGTTATCACACTGTGTTGGGACTAGAGTCATCCAAGGAACACGGTCAGTGACTTGTACTCCTAGACTGTTTTTGCGTTTCCAACTCTCGTGACATACTCAATTTTATAAACTCACTCAGGATAATCAGCGTGGCCACTTTATAGAGTAGGCAATTGACAAAGGAAACTACTGTCCTCTTAGGCTGACGTGTTGCCAAATGGTTTGTCTACAGTGCTTTGCTTTGCCATTTTCGTTTTTCCCTTTCATTCTCCTCCTTTTCTAGGGAATGACAGCCCTGAGTTTCCACTGCCACCTAGGTCTCCTTGACCCCATCTGAATACTCTTTCCAGGAATTATGATGGAAATAGCAACACATCTTTTGGAAATAGCAACACATTTCCAACTAGAGTGGAAACAGATCACACATCTAAGGATACGGCTTCATGGTCACACGAAATTATTTCTGCTAATTGAAGTCTATGTTAATTAAAAGCCAAAATTCAGCACAGGGAGATAGCTCAAGCACTTGCTGCACCGGGATAAGAACCCGAGTTTGGATCCCCAGCACCCACCTTAAAGTGGGATCTGGCGGCTCCTGCCACAGGGGAGACAGATAGGAAGGTCCCCGGGGCTCACTGGCTGGCGAGCCTATCCAGATGGGTGTGCTCCAAGTTCATCAGAGAATTCTGTCTCTAAAAACTAAGGTGAAGAACAGTTAACCTCTGACTGTTACATGCACACACACACACACACACACACACACACACTAAAAGCAAAAAGTTCCATTCCTGTACGCTTTTTCCTGCCGCCGCCTCCTCTGCCTGGATGGCTTGCTTTATTTGCGTATGGAACTCCTTGTTTGTCTACTTGTTGTGATAAACTGCTTTGATAAAATCAGCTTAAAGGGGAAAGGATCCGCTTTGGCTCACAGTGTCATGGTGTCGGCCATCGTGGCAGGGAAAGTGTGGCATTAGGAACCTGAGGCGGTGGGGCCAAGTTGTACTCGCCCTCAGGAAGCGGTGGGAAATGAACGCTAATGTCAGCTCATTTTCCCCTTTTTGTTCAGTCCAGTGCTGCAGTGGTGCTGGAGCCAGTGAAGTGGGTCTTCCCACCTCAGCTAACCTGACCTAGATAATCCCTCATCGGTGTGCCCAGAAGGGTATCTCCTAACTGGTCCTACATCCTGCCAGTATTAACCATCACAGGCATAAAAGTAGAAACTCAAAAAAAAAAAAAAAAAGGCAGTAAATACATCAAAGTGAAGAAGTCCCCATGGCAGTGAGTCCCTCCATGATTCCGAAGCTGTCATTCACAAAGCCTTCCTGGCCACTCCAGTGGCAGCACCTCCCGTGCATCCCTTTCCCAGTTTGCTGTCTTCAGATGCCATCATGGAAACCTCTGTGGAGTTCTGCTTATTTTGCCTGCTGCCTCTGCCCCCACTGGAATATCCCTGCATCCTCAGCACCTGGGACCCTGCACAGCACAGAGCAGGTGCTGGAAGAGGGGATGTTATTGAGTGAATACCTGGGCACAGTTTAGAAATGTAATCATCCCGGGATTCAGTGTGATTACTTCTTGTGCTGTTGGTTAAAGCACTGCCACTTAAGTAGATAGAAGCAAACTGGGGAAAAAAACAAAAACCCCATGGTACAGCTGGCCTGCTAGCTCCATCTTGTTAGTGTTGGCACTTGTCACAGCTGCCAAATTTTCCTATATTTAGATAGTTGTTTTATTTCTTCCTGTTTAGACTAACTGTAATTTTCTTCTCCTTGGGTGTCCTCTTTGTTTCTCCAAGGACAAAATTACAATGAACCCATTATAAAACCAATTGATGTTACAATGGTTAGATTCACTTCCTTCTTGGATTAAGTTTTGTTCATTGGAACAGAACCTACATATGTTCGTTCTTGTTATTGTTCCTGTACTGTTAGTCCAAAGCTGAATGTTATTTGTGTCTGTAGCCAATAGTACTTGAAAACGGAGAGTCATTCTTCCAGGATGAAGCTAAACTGGGTGACTTATCACTCAATTCATATTTTTAAAAATGAATAGTTTACTACATTCCTAACCACTAAGTCAATGATAAACCAGCTACAGTTCGCAGAACCACAGAGGTTAGGCATAGAGTAAGGTACTAGGTGGGGGGCAGCTCTCCCTAGGAAAGGGAAATCGAATACATAGTTAGGGGTGGACAGAGGTTGGGGGACTGGAACAGGATCAAGCAAGGAAGAGGGAAGAGAAGGATGAGGGAAGGAGTGGGAGGGAGATAGCTAAAAGTAAGGACCTTTTGAGGAGTAATATGGAAACTTAATACAATGGAAACTTCCTAAAGTACAGACATATATGAAGGTGATCTAAATGAAATCGCCAAGTAAAGGGGGAGACAGAGCCCCAGCTGGACATGTCTATCACTAAATGAAGAACCCAGTACTGGGAATGGGTTACATCTAATTGAGCTGTTGACCAAAGGGGTCCCATGGGAACAACTGGACAACCCAGATGGTTGCCAAGACTGTAATAGGTCGCTCTCCACAAACTGGTGGTCAGACTCTATTTCTGAAGACAACACCTACACAGCCCAGTGAACGCAAAGAAGTAGAGCTGTTGCCTACATAGACTCTTCACCTACACACACACACACACACACACACACACACACACACACACACACACAGGCTATGTTCTTGGTACCAAAAGGTACTCTGCATACTACCAAAGGAGAGATAGGAACACAACCCAGCTACAAACCCTTTGATCTACAGGAGTGTCCTGCCTGCATGCTAGGGCAGTGGTGGCACAGACTGAAGGCCCACTCCATAAGGTGGGACCCATACCTGACGATGCTTGGTTGACCAAGAACCTGAGACTAGATAGACCAAGGGTAAAACCAAATACTACTGTTCTACTTAAGGAACAGAGTGATAAAATGACTCCTCATTGCTATACTTATAGATCAGGGCCTTGCTCAGCCATCATCAGAGAAGCTTCCTCCTGCAGAGATGGGAACAAATACAGAGACCCACATCCAGACAATATGCACAGAGTAAGAGACCTTGGAACACTCAGCTCAAAAGGGGATGTCTACATCAAATCCCTTCCCTCAGGGTGCAGGGAATGCTACAGAAGGGGGTGAAAAGAGTGTAAAGGTCGTGGGGAGTGGGAAGATACCAGTGAAAGAAGGCCTTCCAGCACAACAGGACTGATGAACACGCGAACTCATGGAGACAGAGGCAACATGCACGGAGCCTGAGCAGGACTGCACCAGATGAGGTCCTAGAGCTGAAAGGAGAAGTGGACATAGCCCCCATACCTAACCCAGAAGCTATCTCCAACTGATAACCATTTGCACATGAAAATTTAGTTTTCTCCAAGAGAGTCTCTCACTGGAGGAACAAACTAATCTTAAGGGTTTACCACAGGCCCAGCAGTAGATGGCCAACAGAAAATTAACTCAGTGGCATCTTTGGGGCCTCCTTTTCTCATAATGTTGTGCCAGGGCTTTGTCTTTATTTTTTAACATTATCTTTTTTAAAATTTTATATTCTGTCTGTCTGTCTGTCTCTGTCTGTCTCTCTTTCTCTCTGTCTCTCTCCCCTTCCCCCCACAGGTTCTTTGCTTCTGTTTTGTGGCATCTGTATCTGTCCTGTGCATTTCCTTGAGCTCTTTTCCTTTTGATTGCTTATTTTGTCCTATTCTTGTGTGTGGGGTTGTTTTTTTTTTTTTTTTTTTATCATGTTCTACTCTATTCTATTCTATTCTACTCTACTATTGTTCCTTAGAAGCCTGTTTGTTTTCTAATGAGGGACAAAGAGTGGATAGATGGGAGGGGAGGTGGGAAGGATTTGGGAGGAGTAGAAGGAATGGAAAAACATAATCAGAATCTATTATATGAAAAAAATCTATTTTCAATGAAAGAAAATATAATATAAAGTAAAATAAACATTACAGAGTTATCTTCATGGAGACAAAAATATTGTCATAGCATCAAAAACCACCCAGTTATGAAATTTTAGAAACTATATGAAAATCGAGGGTGGCACTGTCGTTTGACTCGGTGACGCATCTCTAACGTGGTAATTGCATGACAGCCTGATACGAATTTTCTAGGTAATACTTCCCAGTGATAACAAAATAACGTGTCTGCTCAGGTCATTTGCTAAAGCTGTTTATATTGGAGCCTGCAAAATGTCATTGTCTCATAGTCATTTCTCTTTTAAAGGTTACTCCATGCATGCAATGAGCCATGCATGGCCTTTTGAGTGTAGACTGAAGCCATGAAGCCATTTGTATACTTTAGCCTGGTGCCTGATGGCTCCAGCGTGGTTCAGTTTCATGGACTCGCTAAACACTGCCAATTTTTGCTGCAGTAATAGCCTTGTTTCCCACTTGTTTGCACAAGGAAGTTCTGTAATTGATAACGTGTGTGCCTGGAGAACCAGACATCTGACATAGCAGTAAGTGCAACCCTGAGAGCGTGGATGAGCCAAATGACAAGAAAGCAAACAGTGGTAGGTCCGTATTATAGACAGCAAACTCACAGATACTCTAGGCGTAAACCAAACAAAGAAGCATTCAAAAGACACAGAGAAAAACATTCCACCTACAGGGATATAGACTTGTCAGTGAGGCAGCATGACTGGTTGGCCCGTTTTTTTTGTTTCCCAGTAAATAGAAGGATAATTTGAGAAATCACATATTAATATCACGCCAGTTTCATTCATCACCCATCCATTCTCATTGATTTTAATAACTCTCTCCACTGATCGATGCTTTATCATGCATCCAGAAAAGCTCGACTGCAGTACCGGTTCGGCACCCTTGCTATGGCTCAGTTGTCAGTCTGGTCTACTTATATCTTGCATCACCTCCCTCTAAAAACTGATTACACATTTGGGGGAGATCAGAAGCTGTGAAAAGAGGGAGACATGCATGATTAAAATCCAAAAATGATAATCAAAACTTAACTGCTTGGAGATCAATTCTTTGTAATTAACTTGGCAACCCATAAGATAATTTCTCTGTACTAATGAGGAGATAAGTAGAATATGAGGACTTACCACTCATTTAATGGGCATGGTTTGATCAGTTGTCTTATTAATATTGAGTAATGATAAAAACAAGTTGAAGTCCTTTGATGAATTTTAATATATGAAAGTGCCTGAAAGGAAAGGGAGGTAATTATTTTCCTAAATTAAAATTGCAAATTTTCATCACAATTTAATTTAAATTTTTAAATCTTTAATAATAAGCCTAATATAGAATAGGAACCTCACAGAAGGTGACACACTGAGAAACAATTACCAACTTCATGAGTTTTTCCTCAAAATGATAAAATTAGACCAAATAAACTTTTTATTATCTTGATTACTAATAATTCTCTGTTGTATTTAATAAAGGTGACAGCTTTGTACTTCAGGACCTCTATGTTGTTACAGTAGATAACAGGGTCCCTACAAAAGAACCCGGAGATCTTCCTAGATAGTAGGTTTGCTTTCCATGGGGATAGACAGAGTTGGCAGTGCAGTCAGAGTGTGGCAAGACAGGTTTGTCTTTTGGAAGAAAAAAAAATGGAATCCTGTGAGAATTCTGCGTGCTTGTGAGAAAACAAGACAAGAGTCTTGTGACCTCAGTTTCTTCAAAACACAGAATTGTTCTTGGAATGTGTTTGCGTTCTTCTCCCAGGTGTAGCGGAGAGGAGCGAGTGGACTTCAGTGTTGTTATTCATATACGCCTCTGTGGAGAAACATGTTTTTGCCACGTGTGGCTTGTCCTTGTGATTGTACACTTTACTCAGGTGACTCTTCTTAACCCTCAGAGTATAATGTCTCATAGTCTGACTAAAGTTGTCTAGTGCGTGAGACTTCAGTCCATCTTGTTTTTAGGCCCCACTCTCCGGGGTTCATGCCACCAACTAAAGCGGTAAACAGAGGTGGTGGGGGGCAGTGAAATATAGGGTTAGGGAAGATCTTAGAAATGACTGGAGCCAACACAGGAACAGCCTGATGGGTGAATTTACTGACAGTGTCATTGGCTAGCTAAGGACAGGCTGAACCCTGAAGAAGTAGGGTTTCTGTACTTTTCCTGCTCCTCTTCTCTGTCATGTGTTCTCTGTGACTGCAGAGATGGGAGCATCCATCCTTTACTCTTACATCTCTCTGTCTTCATCACATTCTCTGCTCATATAAATTAACACTGTAAGTGCTGGTCATTCTCAAATGATGATGCCATGACACAGCTGTCTCTTCATGTCCATTCATATAAAATGCTCTCCTTCCATGGCCATTGTGAGCATTTCTAGGCAAACTCATTAATAGTTTCTTCGAGGATATGAATTTAGAGACTATGGACCTGTTCGTTCTTAATAGGTTGGAATCTGTGGCTCATCTGATGTGACATGCTACTTGTGGGTTTCCAGATATGATACCCAGGCATGAAGACAAACTTACATTTTTCAAAGCAAGTGAAATTTCATATGCATGAAAAGTCAAGCTTAGAGTGATCTATGTTTTGAAGAAAGCAGAAGAAAAGGCTTTTCACACCCTTTTAATGCAATCTCTTTGAAGTATTCTTAAGGTGATTTTTATGTATGTAGGACTTAGCTCAAGGTAAATTTATGTAAAGGAAAACAATGATACCTGTGAGAAATCCTGATGAACATTTAATCTGAACAGCTTCCAAGGCCAATTCTTGTTTTCTCTCATAGCTAAAGATCATCTAATCACAATCCATACTGCCACCTCAACAAAGAATCTGCCTCCATTCAATCTTATTGGCTTGACTCTGGCCTTTGCTTGAGAAGGTTGGGGGAGGGATGCATCAAGCTGAGTGCCAGACACTATTGACTGTGACCTTCCATATGGTGAATGGCATTTACTTGAATAGCTCAAGGGTCTCTTTTGTTGCGAACAAGGGCTTTTGCAGATAGCTATATCTGTTGCCACATGTGTTTTGTGTGGTCAGGTAAAGTAGCAAGGAAAACCAGCAGCACAGTGGCTCGAAAGACAAATGTATCATCTATGCCATGTGTCAAAGCTCCCCTTGGAGTGGCCTGAGACTTGTCTGTTCCCCGTGACTGTCAGAGACTTGAATCCATTTCTGTCTGTTGATTTGGCAGCCTCAAGGCAAGTAGTTCACAGACTTCCAGGTTTGGAACCCTTCTATGTAACAACATCAAGACTACATAGAATCTTAAAGAGCCTTGTTTACATTATTGACATTAGACACTGTAATTAAATCTATTGGTATTTGTTTATTGGAAATTAAAACTGAAGGCCTTTTTAAATTTTTCTTTTGAAAAAGGGTCTTTAAATTAAAAATTCTTTAAAAGTAACATGAATAAATCCTTTACATTTAACACAAATGACATTTAAAGAAAAACAACTGTTTTCTAAAATTAAAAAATTGAGTGGTTTTGTGGTGTTCTTCTTTAGTGCAGATCAACTAGATTTTTATTCCTGTTCCTACAATCAGTCAGATGTGATATATTGTCTTAGTTGAAGAAATTTAAATGAAGAAATCTAGACTCCTGAGATGAATAATTTAGTCAAGTAGAAATGTGTTAATGTGCCTATCAAGGGATCCAAAATAGAATTTTCCCTCTTCCTGTGAAGTATTTATTTAATTTGAAAGTATTGTGTAGGGAGTCTTACTCACAAAACTAGGACATGGTTGAGGGAAGCTTGAATTTCAGTCCTGTCACTTGGGTCTGTTGTCTTTATAGCTTTCGCGAAGTTTCCCATGAGCATCTCACACAATACAGCTAGTAGTGACACTCGTGCCTGGCAACCAGAAGGGGTCTCTTCATATCAATTAACTTGTCACCTGCCTCTCTCTGCTACTCGCATCGCTGTTCCTTAGGAGCAAGGCTTCCTAACCCGCTGCTTTGATATGCTTAGAAGTCTCCAGAGCAACTGACAAGGAGACAACCGATCCCAGAGAGCCTGACATACTAAACCTATATTAGAGGCACTTTTTAAAACTGAAAAGTAATGTGTGCATTAAACTTTTCAAAGAAGTTGGAATTTGGTAGAGAGGAAGACCTCCAAAGGGCCGCAGGAAACGATTTCTAGAGGCAGAAAGTCAATAGCCTGGATCTTAGAAGACTGGGAAAGCTATGGGGAGCCAGACCAGGGGGCTCTGTGGATAAGGCAGAGAGGTGAGTGTAGCTGGACTTCTCACAGCAAGGAACATGGCCCGGAGAGATCGGTAGACAAGTGAAGAATAGACTTTCTTACATGGTCACAGTGATCAACCAAGCCAGCAAGAGTCTAGAATGGCAAGAAGTATATTCTGCCTGTTTAATCACAAGTGAAGACACAAACTAAGTTTTTTGTTTTTTCTACTCTGGGCAATAAAGTACAGAAATGGGGGAATAGAATAAATGTTGGAGTTATGACTCCATCTTCAAAAGACAAGGATATATTTTTATCTTCTCTGGGCATTCCTCTGCTCTATCTAGTGACTATCTTCCATATGTTTACGGCTCCCAACCATGTGACACTTTCCAGTAGAGTCTTCCCTTCCAGTAGGGCCTCCAGGGTGAGGAATCTTTGCGCACAAGAATGAATGTAAGGCTTTGCGTTATATCAGTTGTTCATATTAGTTGTCTCACATTCTACTTCAAATTGAAAATTTAGGATTAAATTATTAATAGTATGTTTATACTTGAAACAAACCTATAAATACAAAAGAACCCCCAAAGCAGCTATTTCCTGCACTAGCTTTAAATTTAAAGCTAATTATGATTATTAGATAATTTGAGGGTGGCAATGTATTAGTAATCTGTTAATGCCGCTTATATAGAGAGAGCAAATGTCTTTTATAGGACCATTGAAACTTTGTAGGCTGGACTTACTGTATTCAAATAAAACTTGTTCACTACAAAAAATAGATATGACAACCTGTGTAATTTAATATTGATAATACAAACAAAAGAAATCACATGAGAAACTCATTACTCAGAGATAATTACTAAATAGCTAGTTTTTAGGGTGTGAGTGT